CAAGTGAACTGGGCGAGCGTAAAGTTTGAATACTCTGTCAGCGGGGTTTTTTATTATAGTTGTTCATTACAAGTATCATATTTAATATTCATGACAAAAGTCTAAAGATATTCTTTTGAATTGTTTTAAAAGGTTAATCAGTACTTAAATTGTTATTCCGATTTTCTCAGAATTAATGTAGGTGTCAAAGTAAATATTCTTATAATAATTTATAGAGAAACCCATCGACTTTGGCTGGAATTCAAGTTGAACTTAAGATAAACCAGAACTGATATGAAATTACCCCAAATATTATAAGCAGAGCGTTATCAGAATATTTTCTTTTTAATGTAAATATTAGATTTCCGCATTTTTACTTTATGATCTTTAGGTTGTATGAGATTTATGCATATTTTGCAAGGTTGCATCTATATAAGGTCAAAAATCATCAAAGTAATACCTTTATACTAAAGTATCTTTAGCTGTAAAGATTTATATCCTCCAGATACTAGCTCAAAGATCCACAAGTTCTTGGGTAAGCTTCGTAATTATAATAAAGCCCCTTGGTAAGGGCATGAAATAGCAGAAGCTAAAGCGGATTCCCATCTCTTGACATTTACTTCTATCGCAATTGTAATCGAGTGAATGAGATTGTTGTTGCTTGGCCGTGCTTTTCAGAGCTTGAAGTTGTGTGTGGCCGAGCCTTCAATGTATATACTTCACTCTGGTCTCGATTGTGAACTTCTTAAAACGTGTCAATTGTCATTACCGACAATTTGCCAACGGAAACGAGAGCATTGATCGGGATCGCATGTGGCCAAGTGTAACCACTTCTCCAAAAAGGGGTACAAAATCAATAAATAGCTCTGAGCTTCTTCTATTTTTCAGCGTTCTATCTTTTGCTATTTTTTTATTTTGTTTGTCTGCGGTGGCAATTAATTTGTTACTACCAGCGGGCGGAGCAACAACAATAGCCGGCCGTAGCATTAACAACAAAAAACCGGCAATGGCGAAAAGTCGTTTGTCATTTCCAGTTAACGAGTAATTAAGCATAGCGTTAGAATTTTGCAACAACGCCACAAAGAACAAAAGAAGCTCCCAGCTCCAAGCTTCGGTTTCAAAAGGAGGCGGTGAAAATGACAGCGAAAAAGTCTGGCGAGGCATACACACCACCACACATACATTTTATGTACATTTATATAATGTTTAAAAGGTTTTTGGCCGTTATTCTTCTTGTTTTTATTTCAGTTTTAGTTCGCCCTAAAAATAAGGAATATTATGTTTCTTTTCGTGAAAAGATGGGTAAAAAAAATGACATTTTTTTGGGAGGAATGGAAGAGAGAAGCAATCAACTTGGCAATGGGAAAGATTAATGACTAAACATATAGAAATATTCTTTATAATTGATCATCAATGCATGTTTTGGGGAGAACCTTAACCCTAGAACGGCTGAAAGAATTTGGAGGGTTGGTTTCTAAAAACCTCAATTATCTTTTGTGGTTTTTAGGGGTATTGATTACCAAAAGTAATGGCCAAAAATTGTGCAAGTAAATTAGGCGTTATTAAACCAACATCTTCCCTTTTAAATGCTTGTTTCCTTTTATTACAGAGTATTTTCTAGCTTCTGACTTTAAAGAGTATAAAGAGTTAGTACATTGCACATATTTCTTGTGCAATTAATTCACAATTTGCCACTCCAGCCACTCGAGAGTCACGCTCTTTTGTCGTCGGGCGAGTATCATCTCTCATATCAAAGTAATGTAATGTAAAGTAAAGTGAAGGAGAGGTCGGAAAATAAACAAACGCGAAACAAATGCAGGGAGAAAGAACAACAACAAACAGAAACAGAGTGCAGCAACTGCAGTGAAGAGAGCGGAGATGCCAGCAAAGGCAGAGGGACAGAGATAGAAACTGAGAAGGAAAAGGAAAAGCAAAGGCGACGAAGGCGACAACCGATGACAGCGTGGACAAACACATGTACATACATGCATACACACAGTTTGTACACACCCAGTCGAGTGTGTGTCTGTATGCTTGTGCATTCATTGAAAAATAAAAATGTACCGCAACAAGAATGACGGCATATAAAATGTACAAGTAATTGTCATCAAAGTTCCGACATCTTAAGTTCCCATTAAATTTTAAAATTAAGCAATGCAGTTTAAGCAATTTCTTTTCAATATATATATATATGTAAAAAAAATTCTTAAAACCTGTCCTGAAAATTATAAATTTTGGTTAACTAAATTAAATATGTATAATTTCCATTATTTAAAAAAAAAAAAAAAAAGAGTTCAATTTACTTGCCAATTTTTACCTCTACAACCAATTTTACTCCCTGATTTGACTGGTCGAATAAAGCTATAATAATTAATACAATTAACATCATCAGAGCTTCTTGTTTTGAAAACCACAACCACAAAATCCAGTTTGTATCGTCAAATTGCATTAATCAAGCAATTTTGACATTTTTTGGGGGAAAATAGTGATTTCTAAAGTGCGAAGCGACACCTCCCTCCCCATCCATTCCCCTCTTTCCGAGCATAATAAAACCAAAACAAAACAAAACAGGCGATAGATAGACAGATAGAAGACAGGCGAGACAAGACGACAGACACAAAACAAGCCGGGCAACAACAACGACAATAACAACAAGTTGCAAGCGAAAGCGATAAGAAATTGAAAAAGTGCGTGCCGCCAGCGTCTGCCTGTGTACGCAATGCGAGTGTGTGTGTATTTTATGGATACAGATACACACACTTGCAAGATGCAGTTCGTTGCCTGAATGCCGTCTTGTACCTGGCTTTTTGTATTGTTTTTGTTTTTGTTTTTTTATCCCCGCGTTTTGTTGAGGGGAATTACTTAATAATTTAACGAATTCGAAATTCGAAATTCCCAACGCGTTTTTTGCACTCTGCTTTCACGCATTTTGGCTTTTGTTTTGTTTGCTTCAATGTTTCTTTGGCTGTGGTCGTGCGCATAAATTTAAAAGCCGAAAACCTGGAGCACAATTCTGGTGTTGTTTCGTGTAATCGTGTTTATTGTTGCCACGTCCAATAATTATAAAGTGAGTCTGCCTGCCGGTGTGCTTGTACTGTGACTCTGTCGACTGCGTCTGTGTGTGCGAGTTAAGTTTATTTATAAATTGTTGTGTCTTCGAATTGCTTTTTATAGCGCTGCATTTGCATTTTGTCGATTCGTTAAGTTTTCCTCTCTTTTGCACTTTTCTTTTGAATTTCGAATTAGAGTTGCGCTAACACACACACACACACCTATTGATTGCAATTGAAATGTGGCCCACGTAGGGCCCATTCTTAGCCAATATCCGCTGTTTGTTGGTACAAGTTTTCCTGGAAGCCACCCATTTCGTAATAGTCACAAAAATGACAAAAAGTAAAGAAGCGTTTCCAATTAAATGTTTACTATTTAAGCGAGATACAATATCTTTTCTGCAGATAAGAGAATGCTACAGTTTAACTTTTTTTTTTAAATAGAAGCACACTCATTTATTAAAGATGAGATATAAACATGAATCTATCTCTATGCAATTATATTTGAATGCACATAAATACAAACATATGTCCCAACTATCTGCCGGAGAACAATATTTATCTGGCTATTGTTCTTTCCTTACTTTTCCATTAAATTGACAATAAATTGATCTTTACGTGGACAAAAACAATCGTAAAGCCAACAAATTGTCATTTCATTTACTTTTGCTTTTCAATATTTGCGCTTGCCTTTTGTTGTTTCTATTTTGCACTCGGCTCTAAACATTTGTGTTGAGTTGAGTGATGATGCGACGACAGTAAATAGTAAATGAAAGCAAAACAAGCCAGAAAATTGATACAGAGTGTCTTTTGTGTGTTCTGCCCACCCACTCCCCCCGCCATGGACACTGCTCCCATCAATTAAAGCGACGATGACATCACGGGCTACGGCAAACAATGATGACACGTCAAAGGAGGACTCTCTCGTTTCATTTCGCATAGCTTTTTCGCCTTTATATTTGCTCTCTTTTTTTGTGGATGGTGCAAATTGAAATGCTTTCACATACACGAGTCTGCTGGCAGACAACAACCATGGTCATCACCATAAAAAGCTGGAAAAGTGGAAAATATTCTTATCAACGATGAAGGGGCGGGTCGCTTGTAAATGCGCACAGTTCAACTTTTCAAACAATTTCAAAGTTTGAATAAAAATACATTACATTTAATAAAAGTTTTGCCCCAGGGTTAAAAAGAGAAAATCACAAACGCAATTGTAAATTGATTAAATTTTGTAGTTTTTTAATCAAATTCCTTTAATCCTTAGTGCTATTAGCTTTATCAGTATATTTGCAAAAAGTTCTTTTCCCAGAACTTCAGCTTTGCTAAACCCTACACTTTTTTCCCCCATAAACTAATAAACTAATTGCACTTTTAGACATATTTCTGCATGAATTTTATTCATATTTCATATCACGATTGCTAGTTTCAAGTAGTTTAAAGTGTTTATTTGTCTATAAGTCAGAATACTCCTAGCGGCTGGCCATATTTCCTTCCAAGAATTCAAATGTTATAGAGATATTTGAGGTATGCAACCTTAGAAGAAATTCCACTTAGTTTACACAATAAATTGGTACACATTTTCCCAGATATTTAAGCTTTTCCTTAGAATTGATCATAAAAATGCCAATATACATTGCTCTTACGCTCAAACTATTGAAACAAGTAGGGCAACACATATTTGCAAAGATATCCTTGACATTTTGGTCGGGTTAACTAAGGGTTCCTTGGGGAACTGCGACTTTTACAGTTTGGCCTGTAAATGAAAATGTTGCAGTCCCAAAAGTAAAGCCAGCAGGGAGCTGTTGCTGCTGCTGTTTGCTGCCCGGTGGTTGATGAAGTCATGGTTGGGTGGGGGTCAGTGGGCGGGGGACACCACCCGGCCCAGACGGGAATGACACACCGAGACCGAGACGGCGACCGAGACAAAGGCATGGCGGAGGGTAGGAGGAAGAAGACCATTGGGCTACTCACCGCTCCGCAATCGGCTGCCGGCGAATTCTCGACAATGTCGTAGATGACATGTGGCGGTCCGGTGGTGCCGAGCAGCGAAAACCCGAAGCCGGAATGCTGCTCGCTGCGGCGCAGCACCACCTTCAGTTCCTCGGTCATGTTGGGGTCCCTTCTTTCTGGCGCTCCGGCTGCTCCTTATTCCACGGATCGGCGTCTGTCCGTCCCTATTGCGTGTGGCACTTTTCGCAGTTGCGCTTCACTTTTTTAATTAATTCTCGTTTTGGGCTTGGCCAACACTCGGATCCACTTCATTTACACTCAGACACTCGTTGCCGCACACTCACACTACACACTTACGGCACACGCAGGCACACATGCACACACGCACTCACAATTCACAGCCTGAAACTGACGCTTTTCTGATTTTGTTTAAACATTATTGCACTTTTTATTTCCCTTTCTTTTCACGCTTCTTTTCGTCTACGCAAACTTGTTTTATTTTTTCTTCCTCTGTCGCTGCTATTCGGTTGGTTTCGTTTCGGACACTTTTCGCCGCCGTTTGCGCGTCACGGAGCCGGGGACAGAAGGGGCTTAACCAGAATTAATTCTAGGACGCCCGTGGGTGCCAGCTATCGGAGCCGACATTGCCGTCCAGCTTAATTTAATTTCACTTAATTTTTTTGACTCCGCGTACGAAAATGAACAAAACGAACTGAATTAGTGGTGGAAAAGCGTCGATTAGAGCGGCGAAAACATCGCTAATGCATTACTATCGATACTATCGATCAAAGATACATCTTTAATTTGCAACATCGATATTTTACTTCCCGAGAAAGGGTCATCGAATTTGCAGAATGGCTCTCTCGAATGATGAGAGTTTTATTTGCTACACCTACGTACATTTTTCTTCATTCGGTTTGAGTCGATATCGGCGATATACGAAATTCTAGGATTACTCCAAGAAGATTTTCGTCTCCACTGTAGCCGGTCACACTTAAATGAACAATTGAGCTAAAAAGTTGATGGCACGGATAAACGAAACTAAGTTTTAAACTTAGGTTCGCGTCCATGCTTTTCTGATTGGGACGGTCTGCTTAGACACTTTTCGCGCGAAATTTAAATAATCAAACTCCGAATAAATCTCTATTTAGAAAACGCTGATCCACCAGGACTTGATGAAACGATTATTATACTTCACTAGTCAATATTATTAAAATACAACTGTAGCTTTATATTGTTAAATATTCATTATAAATGTTGTTGCCATTATTTTAAACCTTTTGGGTGGAATTTAGTGATTGTCGAGCCCTTTTTTTATCACTCTTTTAATGTGTGCCAATTATGAAATCAAAATCCACTTTGCATAGGGGGAATACGGGGATCTACGCTCCGTATCCAATCGTACTCCATCGCATCATCTTAAAAGCGCGTGCAATTGCGACTTTCAGATAAAGATCTCCGACTCGTTTTACGACCTGCCGACGGTTAGCAGCCTATTCAAATTTTATAGCTCCCGCAGTTAGCTGGTGGGCACAAAGCACTTGACTCATGCGCAGCCACATGGAAATAGATGTCTGTCCTGCATTCACTTCCGTTCTGACCGGACGACGGGGGATCGGATTCGGGTTTGTTGTCACAACAGTTCGGCGCTAAGAAAACAAACCCGATCGTGGGTGTCATAACCGTTCATATTCGTAGCTCGGGCACGCGACGGGGTCTGTCTTCTGTGGGTCCAGATGTTGTGCGCAGCACAATTATCATATCAGCAGCACATCATTTGCAGCTAAGTGAAAAAGCAGATTGAGGCGGTCGCAGAGGCAGCCTTCCTTAAAAAGCGCCTCCCGCGGGCCCGAGATCTCAGTATTAGTTGTGCCCCAGAAGCGAAGAGAGCCGAAATGAAGAACTGCAGCAACGTCAACGCAGGCTACGAGTCCAGTTACTATGTGGATATTACCAGGTCTTGGCTAAATCAAGCTGAAGGATACACGGACTGCAGTTATGGATACGACCAGAGTGGAGCTTACATGGACTGCGATAAAGTACAGGCCAATTGGTCCAGAGAAGCTACCGATCCGTGGATGCTAGACGATGCCACCTCAACCTGCCAGGACCTGTCCAGTCAAACAAATACCAAACCGAGGGCCAGCTCCTCGAATCGCAAGGAACGCACTGCCTTCACTAAGTCGCAGCTTAAGGAGCTAGAAACAGAGTTCTGCTTCTCAAACTACCTGACCAGACTGAGGCGCTACGAGATCGCTGTGGCCCTGGAGCTGACGGAGCGGCAGGTCAAGGTGTGGTTCCAGAATCGTCGCATGAAGTGCAAGCGCATCAAGCTGGAGGTAATCCAAGGAGTCGATACCAAGACACAGCCACAGTTCTAGTTTGTACAAAGACATATTTTTAACACAATTCAACTTACAAAATGATTTTGTTTACTTAACAACTACAGATAGTAAAGGTATTCTAAGCTACTTCTTCGACTTCTTGGCCTTACCTATGGGCAGGGGTTTGGCCAGTTTCTTAGCTGCGGCCAGCTGCAGCTTGTGGGTGGCGACATTCTTTATTGATGCCTTCGCTGCCTTGGCGACAACAGGTGCGGCTTTCTTTTTCTGGATTCCACCAGTGCCGGGCTTGCGCTTCAGCTTATCCGCCAAGCTTTCGACGGCGGCTTTGGTCTTCTTTTGTGCCTTTTTTGGGGGCACCGGAAGATCCTCCTCTTCTTCGTCGCTGTCATCGGTGGCCTGTTCACCGTCTTCGTCCTCCTCCAGTTCGGACTCATCGTCGCTAGCGTCCTCATAGTCCTCATCGTCGGAATCTTCGTCGATGGTGGTGCCCAGCAAGTCTTCTAGCTTTGGCGACTTCAGCTTCTTGTCAGCCTTGGCTGCCTTGCTGGTAGAGGCCTCGGTTGTCTCTCCCTTTGGAGCATCCTTTGTCTTCTTGATTGGCTGCACGAGCAGGCTGGAGAAATCGATGCCCAAGTCCTTGTACTTTTCCTGCATCTTCTTTATCTTGTTGAGGTTGGTCACAGTGCGCTTCTGGCAGGCGGATTCATCCCAGTTGTTCTGTTTCTTAACACTGCGCTGGGTGGCTTTGGTCACATCCGAAACGTAGATCTCCTTTCCAGCCTGAACCAATTTTTAGCGATTTATTTTGCGTTTTAGAAGACTTATTACGGGTAAACTCACCTTATTCGTGACTTTCTTCAAAGAGGTTCTAAAGTAATTGAAGGCCTGCTTCTCCGGAGGTATGTAGGAGGCCTTGACCACCTTCTGGAACATAAGGTAGTTGTCCATGGTGTCAGCCGCCACTTTGGCCACCTCCGGATACTCGAACTCCACGAAGGCATAGCCCTTGCTATTGCCGGTACGTAGGGAACGGGCAAGCCGGACACGGAGCACCCGACCGAACTGGCGGAAGTACTGCCGCAGTTGCTGCTCAAAGAATCCGTGCGGAAGGTGTTTTACAATGATCACACCCCGCTCTGGACCCTTTACCTTTTGTGGCTTGACCTTGTCCAGCTTTTTCTTCAGCTAATAAGATGGAGGAGGTTTACAGTTATTCGGACATTCATCTGAGCTGTTCGATGGTGCCCGTGCTTACCTGTCCGGAAACGACTTCCTTGGGTTTCTGTATTGTTTTCATTGGCGAGGCCTGTTTCGCAACCTTCTGGGGCTTGGGCTTCTTCACAGGCGGCATTTTTAATGTTTTTATTTATATAAAATCAGTACAAAATAAGTAAAATTTACAAAAACGAGCCGCACGTGGAGTTCCAAAACATCGATGTTACAATCGAAACATCGATATCTATTTATAACAATCGATGTAGGTTCACAAAAGCTATTTATTTAATTCATATGGACTGATAGACGTTAAAAAATAACAATCAATATAAATTTCATTTTGTGGAATATTTTAATATAATATATAATATTATATATATAGAATATTTAACATTAAAATATCAAATAAGTTCAATATCGATAACTTACAGCACGGGCTGGATAAGTCATCTGGTCACTCTTGATGCTATTTTTTGCGCATTTTTTGTTTACAACAACTACATTCACGGTGAAACATTTATAAATTATATGGATATATCGGTTGCATCGCTGAATACCTCCATTCTGGAGGAGGACGAAATATGCTCGGGGTATACTCACTATGACATCAAATCATTTCTCGACAAATCGTCCATAGGTCGGTGGTTTCCTTTCGTCCAGGAAACCAAAGACGCCAAGAGGGTAAACTTAAATTATTGTGCCATAATGAAGTTATAATTAACAAATTGTGCACTTTTTGCTAGCTCCTGGATCAGTTCGTGGCCTGTTTAACATCCAGCATTTCGGCGAGTACGAAGGAGCTCCTGGATCTGTTCACGCTGTCCCTTATGATGATGACCTATCAAAAGGACATCTCGCAGCTGATGAAGGAGCGCTTAAATCTAGTCGAAATAGTCAGCAATCTTCCGGTCACTCTGGATACAGAAGGCGTAAGTGCTGCTTCTAAAACACAATGTTCCGATTTACATTAACCTCTTAATCCCAGGTCCAATACATTGTCAACGGTTTGTATAAAAATTTGGTGGGTGAATCGCTAGGAAAGGAGCGTTTGGAACGGGTGCTAGACATACACGCCGCCATTCCCGCTATGATGAAGTCTTCGAAACTCGGCAACGACATTTCTGTCGCCCTTCTTCTTACCATTATGGGAGAACATGCAAAAGTACGAGTCGATCTGGGAAGCAACAATGTAAGCTTGGCAGCTGGTGTTTCATTATTTAATTAATCTGACAATAAATTTGCAGGTAGAGAAGGCCTTCGAAATGGCCAAACAGGTCAATTGGCAACAGCTGGCAGACAGTGACCGGCGTGCGGATATGTTTATGCTAATACGCACTTTCAGTCTAATTATCAACTGTCGCAGTGTTCGCGACGAGTGCACAAATTGGACGAATCTCAGTACGGAGATTCACAAATACTTTCTGAAAGTGAGCAAGGCATTTGGCACTTCCATGGTCTACGGAGCCTTTGAAATGATGGTTAGTGTTGCATGAGTTTCGATAGTAATTATTTCAGATTTGTTTTTGGTTTCAATTTCAGATAGAGCGATTCATTGCATATTGCGTGGTTCGTGGGGCCACTTCAACGTAAGTTAAAGGAAAACATGTATATTTACTGAATGTTAATCCTTTATTCCTATATTCAGCCCCCAACTCTGCAACTACAAGATCTGTGACGATGCAACCGACGCATAGCCATTCGCATAAATTTGTTTTGTTAAGTTTAAAGTTTTGTTTGAGTTAGTTATTTTAGTTACCTAAAGTATTAAGGTTTTATGTGCATTTGCACGTATTAAGCATACAGCTGAGATGAAATAAACACACCAAATTACCTAGTTCTTAAACAAAAACGGAGTTTCTTGGGTAATATTCAGCAAATGATGGCCTCGTCTTTTGATTCGCCCGCCCTGATTGTCTCTGCGGCTGGTCCCACTGAAGGTTGAAAGTATCTTGCTTGGGTGTAATACTGTTTCTTCTGAGCTTCTATTTAACTGTTATATATTTACTGTTATCTTAAAAAAGCTCTTTTATCGGGGTTAATTTGTAATCCCAAATGAAAAGAAAAATAGAAACCAAAAATATCCAAACTGATTTTAGTACATTTCCTCTGAAAATTGTGATTTTTTGGCGCTCTGGCTGCGGTCACACAGAACGCCCGACGGCACGTGTTGACTGCATTTAAAAAGCTTTTTTAACAACATTTGGCAGGAGTTGCAGTGGCCGAGCCAGTCGCAGTAGTTGCTCAGCATGTTCTACCTAATCGGCCTCGGCCTTGGCGACCTCAAGGACATCACTGTCAAGGGTCTGGAGATAGTGAAACAGTGCAGTCGTGTGTACCTGGAAATGTACACCTCGATTCTGGGCTGCAGCCTTGAGGATATGGTAGGTATCCCTTGACATACGTTGCCCCCACACTCACTCACCCGCCCCTGCTTCCGCAGCAAGAGTTCTACGGGCGGCCGCTTCTACTGGCGGACCGCGACCTGGTGGAACAGGGCGCTGACGAGATCCTGGCTGGCGCTGGAGAGTCCGACGTGGCTCTGCTGGTTGTGGGCGATCCGTTCGGGGCCACCACCCACACAGACTTCATACTGCGCGCCAAGGAGAAGAACATCCCCTACAAGGTGGTGCACAACGCCTCCATCATGAACGCTGTGGGCTGCTGCGGCCTCCAGCTGTACAAATTCGGCGAGACGGTTTCCATTCCTTACTGGGACGAGACATGGAAGCCCGACAGCTTCTATGATAAGATCAAGCTTAATCGCCTGCACAACATGCACACGCTGTGCCTGCTGGACATCAAGGTGAAGGAGCCCACGCCAGAGTCTCTAATGCGCAAGCGCAAGGAGTATATGCCGCCGCGCTTCATGAGCGTAGCGGAGGCGGCCCACCAGCTGCTTGCCATCGTGGAGAAGAAGGACGCCCTGGAGCGGAATACGGTTCTCAACGAGCAGTCACTGTGTGTGGGCCTGGCCCGCGTCGGCCAGGAGTCGCAGCAGATTGCCGTGAGCACACTGCTCGAGATGCGATCCACCGACCTGGGCGGACCGTTGCACTCGCTCATCATTCCCGCCAAGGAGATGCATCCGCTGGAGGTCGAGTTCCTGCAGCAGTACGCCAGCCTGAAGCTGGACGACTACAACCATTAATTAACCGCTGCAAGTTACCTATTTAAGTGTCTAGGAAATGTCCGTGCATGCATCTGAATTGAATTTACGAAGCAAGAAGCTGGTAGCTGTAAGCTCGAGGCTCTGTCTGTGCAAGAAAGGAAAGTGATATCGCTTGATGCCACCCGTATACGTATGTAGCCCGCCTGCCCTCCGGCAGTTGAAATAAAACGCATTCACCCATCGTACATTATCGGGGGCTTTAATGGGGGGCAGCACATCAATAGTAGAGGCCTCGCATGCGGCGTGAGGATCCTTGGCGGTCGTATAGCATGTTGAACTTGTTCACGAAGTGGTGCATGTCGTTGCAGCCCTTGGTGAGGGTACCCAGATAGCTGATCAGTCCGACGTCGTTGCACTGCGTGTAAAACTCCTCTTGGAAGGCGGGCACCTGCATCACGGGCAGTCGGTGGCACAGGGCGTAAGCCTCACGTAGAATCTCTTGGTTCGCCCGCAGCTTGCCGGCCTCGACGTCCCGAATGTACTGGAGGACGATCTTGATCCGAGTGTTCAGCATCTTAATGGCGCTGTCCTGGGCCACCAGATGTTCGGCAACCACACTCTTCTCTCCCGACTCGTTGGAGGTCATACGTGCCACATGATCCACTCCGATGCGCTCTGCCTCCTCTGTGGCCAGTGTGTAGGTGAGGGGCACAAACAGCATGGTGGCCTCGCCGTCCACCAGATCGATGAGCGATTCGAACAGCTTCAATGGGAGCTGGTCAACACTCCGGGAGAGGGGATTAAGCTGCAGCAAAATGGGACACTCGTTGATGGCGGCGATCTGTTTCTGAATCTTTATGTCATCCGCCGTGGGGTTCTCGCCGGTTGTGTACCAGCCTATGAAGTCGAGATCGCTGAAAACCTGTGAATGTCGACGATTATAGTGTTTTAAGCATAGGAAGGTTTTTGGTATTACTAACCTGCTTGTACTGCTGCTCCTTCTTGTTGTAGTAGTCCTTGTTGATTACCGTTTCATCCCCGATTACGTCCGTCTTGAGCTCGAATGAGTTCATAATCTCAATGTTGCGTCCCTTCTGCTTGCCAATTATGGCTCCGTACACCTGGCGCGGCTCGCCGTGCTGCGCCCGGAAACGTGTCCAGTGCTCCGATATATTCATTATGACCAGCGGGTGCAGAGAAATGGTCACCGAACCGCTGATACCCGGCGCAGCCATGATATTTCCCTTGGGCGGCTGCTCCGCCGCGGGATTCTGGTTTGGGGTCGGATCCTGTGAGTTGGTGGCGCTGCCGGAGGCTGACGAGGTGCTCGGCTTGGCCGACATGTCCACATCCACTTCCATTTGCTCCATGCTGTCAGGCGGCTCTTGTTTAATCGTAGTTAGCGGTAAAAAGTCAACTTCAATTCTTTTTGTTTCTTTTGTTTGATTATAAAGCTAGTGTGACCGTAAGTTGGCCAATAATAAATACAAAGGCGTTTTACAAAATGCCAAAACGTCATTTTATTTGATTTAATATTCATTATATGAACTTGTTTTTATTTTTTATTCACTGCGATTAAATCTAAAATATCATTAAGAAAAATTTAGTCATATAATTAAAATAACTTGATCACCCAAATATTTCCGAGTCACGAACTAGTTCTGACTTCTGAATTCTGTTCCAAAAGCCTAAAAGAGAGCAAAGCGTTGCCAGATGGGTCGGCCAGGGCGGTTAAAATTTAAAAAATGTTGGTTGCTTATTTACTTTAAAAACAATTGATTAAATTAAAATTTAAAATGATATTGAATGCATATTGTATTGTTTTTATAAAAGTGAATACGGTTTTATATTTCCAAAAACATTTTTATCGCAGTGGTTGCTTAAGTTTAAAGAACTTTCGATTTATTGCCCACTGGTATTACTCGTTTTCTATTTCAACACCTTTTATAGCAATAGAACGGAATTTCTTATTATTCAGAACTTATGATACTGCTATTATTGATTTCCTATGTCGACACTTTTAATTTAAAACGCTGTCTTTGTGCTTTTCGCAAGAAAGAACTCTTATCAATTCCGGTATTTCCGATTCTGATCTGATTCTATTGTCAGCTTATGAATATCTCTTCCGCCACAATGACCCTGCCTTGCCCACCCCTCCCCCAGTTACTATGGAAGCAGAGCAGAATAAGCAAAACCCACTTGGTTGGTTTTTTGAAATTTATCTTTTCTTCGCTTTTATTTGTCTTCGCTTTTAATTTCGTGCTCGCGCCGTATTTGTTCGTGCGAATTTTGTAAGTTAGACTAGTTGGCTTAGGACTACAAATATTTAACATTAACATTTAACAGGCTATTTACAAATCGTCTATACACATTTACAATTATCACTTATGACTACGGGCGGGCAGCCAGGCGCCCCTTTCGATTAAATCTAAACGCGTTTCGTTTTTGAGGTTCTAGAATTAGGCGACTTACACTCTAGGCAGATCTCGAAAAGTGACCCAGTTTGTTGTACAGTTCCACAAGCGGATACAGAGAGTACAGAATGCAGAAGCGGCTGGCTGGATGCAGCAGCAAGGGCAAGCGAAGCGGTCAATCAAAGCTGGCCGGAGGCTGTGGCACGATCAGATTGCGTATACGCCCCGTGTTCCTGTTCATCGATCGGTCGTCAGCCGGCGCTTCTCTGTGTGTGTGTGCATGCTTGTGTTTATGGCTCTTAAGCTTAGCTTAGCGTTAGTTGAAACCTTTGTACCAAAACTACTTCAAACGTTTCATCCGTTTTTCGTCTGTTGCCAACACCAATCTGTTTTCAGTTTACACATTATTACAAGTAGTTGTTCCCCCATCAAGCTGAATCCCTGGGACTGAGTCCGTTTTAGTGGGCTTTCAGCTTCTGCGTTGCCATCGCCGTGTTATTGTTGTTGCTATCCGCCTTGGTGGGCGTGGCAGTGAGCTGTTGCTGCTGCTGCTCCAGTTGCTGCTGTGCAGCCTTGGACTTCCTGTAGCTCTGCATGTAGAAGTTCATGAAGAGGCAGAAGAAAATGGAGGCATTCAGCAGGAGCAGGGCGGAGATGAACTTGGAGAACTGACACTGGTTGCTGAAGAGGGCGCGGGTGGTGTGGAAGATGCATAGCACGAACTGGGCCTATAGAAGAAATAAAATAAATATAATAATGTTAATAATATACTTTTTTAAAGTCCCTTTTCCCTTTCCTACATAACTCTGTGATGTAACTTCGATCTGCAGTGCCTAATCATAGATATTTTGCTTTAAAGCTTGTGGGAATCATACGGTAAATAAAGTGATTACATCTGAATACTGGGAAACTTCTACTGAGGTAGGATACACGCCCCTCTGGTAGGCCACAATCAACGCTCTCTGAACTGGACTTGACCCTCCTCTTTCTGGTCATTGCTGGCCCCATGAAGGGCAGAGCTAGTCTCGTTACGGAAGTTGTAACGTCATCCAATTAGCCAAGTCACTTAGTGTCGAGTCATACAGCCAACTTACGGATCTTTGAATGCGCCTTATAAGCGACACTGGCGGAGTACCCTTGAGCACTTGCCCCGAGTAATCAATAAGCACTCAATGTAGTAACAACTTGTGCACATTGATTAGAATTAGCCAGAGTGTCTGGCTATTAACTAGCCATGATGTTAGTGGCTATGTTTAGCCATGTCCAACAAATTGCCACTCAACTGCCCCCCCTTCCATTGGCCTTTTCCAACCCCATTGGCGCGTGTTATAAAACCCATATTTATCGACCGATCATAAGATACATATTTTGATGTCACTTTTGCTACTTCCACTAACTATCCAGTTAGATACACTTAAAGAAATTTCAAGTATTATCAATTATTCGAGGGAAATGGTTGGGAATAAAGTAAGGAAGAAATATAATTACACCAAAATCCAAGTTTAATATGAACTGATTTTAGATTATCCAATAAATACAATTTCTCCTGAAAGGAAATTTATTTATTTGGTTATTTATGTATTTAATTTAAGATATTTTTCCCCCTGTACACGCATCTACATATCTCGACAGTGTGCAGTTTTTTTTTGGTGACCTACAAATAATCATGCTGGCCAGCGAAGCGATGCAGGTTTCCATTACCACTGCAGCGCAAAGTCACTGAGCCAATAGCGGTAGCAGCGGCAGTTGGCCAAGATGGCAACTGCAACTGCAACTGCTGGCCAAGTTTGCGTCTTGCGGTCCGGTCCGCTCGTTGAAAGCCAACGTCGACGCTTAAACGCCCCAATGCACGAGACACGAGCCTGGTGGCGGCACCGTGGCCTGCGATGATTGATGGAAGTGGGCCAATCTCCGTGGCGGAGCCAATGACCAGCTTCCTACTTCTAAAATTTGGTGGGGAACTACTTCTATGGAGAGGGTCTAAACGGTTTCGTAACGAGACTTCAATATATGCTTCTTTGTTTTCCTCACATTATGCATACAAAGATTATAACTCAACCGCAGTAGCCTCTTCCACAAATTGTTTGCAATTAAATGCGAAATTATTTTGCACGTTTTCTTAAGAGTTTTGACCTCGGAGCTTGCTTGTGGTTCGTGCCGGATTTTCTTAAATTAAATTGGTGTTTTAAATTTTGTGTAGTGAATAGATTTTGAAAGTTTTTCGAGCTCTTGAAGACCGGCAATAACTTTTGCCAATAAGTGGTCTAGTTTAGCACAATCTTAAACGTAATCTCTTGGTCAGTTCGCTATTTTATTTAGCGATGACCTGTTTAAGTTTTATATTGATTTTTTCTAAACTGATCATTTAGTTAATTAGCTAAATTTACTAAGGTCATCTTATGAAGCACCTTTCGAATGAGTTTTTGCAACATTTTGGCAAGATCTTAAAGGTTTTTTGCCTAATAGAAAAATTTTTGTTTTTACGAACCTACCGACCTTAGGGTTCAGCCTTAATTGTAAGACATTATTTTAACAAATAGTAACTAATTACTAACTAGCGTCACAAGTTTACTTTATCTAATTTTCCAGTAAATATTCATTAAGTTTTCGAAAAAGTATTTTAACCCACTGTTGCTTCTAATTGCATAATCTTGCCACAGAGCATTGAACGATGTATCTGCGTGTGCCGGCAAATGCCGAACAAAATGAAGTTGCACTTGCAACATGACTGATCGGAACGAGCACCGGCAATTGAAAGAGGCAAATTGCTTGTTGACTTTTACCCAGTCACGGAGCCAAATGGCAACTGTGGTCTGCCCAGTGGTCACCATCGAAGATCACAAAGTGGTGGCCAAAGCTAAGTCCAACAATGTTGTCAATTCAACTGCTTGTTGAAAATATTAAAAAATAATATTTATGTTACAGATATGTAATATGTATGTAATAAAATACACTTTATCATTGCTTATTTCGCTGTGGTGCTGGTGTTGCTCAACATGTTCTTAGCAACATTTATTTAGAAACATTTTCTTAGGGTTCCCCCATGTTCGATTGAAGATATCATGCTCAGTGTTATAATTAATGTGTCTGATACAGCAATTAGTCTATACATTTTACACAAAAAGTTGTGTTTTACAGGGTATCTCCTCTTTGTTGTTAGTTTAAATATCTGAATTAATTTATAATTTCCCTCTTGGCAACATTGACACCCATTTAGCCAAAGTTGCCGGGACTCCACCTGAAACTATAGGGGGCAGTAGCTTAGCCGGAGGCACACGCAGGCATCTCTTTGCAATAGCCGACATAGACACTCACCCAGTTGGTGTGGCAAGTTCGTCGCGGTGCTGGGCAAAAGTGAACGCTCCGCTCCGCTCAACTCCAATGGAGCTCCACTGAGCACACTCGGCAGTGGCGGGCAACATTCATTGCCGCAAAACGGAACGAACACGAAATGATAATGTAATCGAAACTGGTCGGTTTGGTACACCAAATGTAGAAACTGTTGGTGGAATTGGAATTGGCCTACCTCGGCGAGTTGCGGGGATGTTGCAACAAAACGCGGCCAGCTAGTGAGCTAGCCAGCTAGCCAGCCGAAATATTGGCAACGGCAGCCGGTAATCCGGCAATCGGAAAATCGGAACTTAACTTCAACTTGGGCTTGGCGGGGTTCGTTAAAATTTGGAGCACGTTACGCTTTTTTGTGGCTAATTGGCCGACAGGAACCGAAAGAAGCTAGCGTATTGCACATGCGATTGCTAACACTTGGCCAATCTAGAATCACAAGTAAGCGCCAGCAAGTAGCAGCCGCAGGCGTGACAGATAAATTATCTATGAGATGCGTTTTGCCTACTCATTAAATGTGTCAGTGTAGCGCAGCAATTGCACATGGGAATACAGAGAGAGACTGAGAGAATTTTAGAAACTAAAAGTTTGCTTTCATTTTTCCTTTGAGAAGGAATTTCGTAAGATAAACTCACTCAAATAATTAGGAAAAATGTCTATAAATTTCCTAAAGCATTAATCTTTCAGCTCATTCTACACTTGTATACTTCATTC